CATAACTTCTTAACGATAATGGAATGGACCTGCGTAAGCCAGCCCATTCTAAAATATTTGTTTTGCATATTTTTTAGACAGTTGATTATAAGAATTAGTACTATTCAGACTAAATAAAAGGTCCTGAAGGCAAATCACTCTGGCATTAACATAATGTTTATAATAAACCGGCTTGTTTTCTACTTTTATTTCTTTGTTATTCCAGATTATAGTTTTCCAATCTTCTTCAGTGGCAAACGTTTTACGAAATTGCGACCACCATAACAAAAGTTCCTGATAAAATTGAGAAGGAATTGTGTAATCCGAGATATTGTAGTTGCAGTTAAAAAAGAACAATCCCCCAACGGAGCTCAGTATGTGTTGTAGGTAGCTTTTCCAAGTTCCATTAGTCCCACTGAAGATACTTTTTAACCAAGCTAATCTCAATGATTTAACCATGCACTCGAGATCAACCATTCTTAGCCCTCCCTCTTCGTATTCGTTTATAACTGAAGCTCTTGTTACCTTATCTACACCTTTCCAGAGAAATTTAAACAGTTCTTTATTCAATTCTTTTAGTAATTCCTTGGGAGTTGGAAGGATCGAAGAAATGTAAATGTACTTAGGGATAATAAAAGATTTGATTATTGTCACCTTACCGTATATCGACAGGCCTCTAGCGGACCATATATTAATAAGTTTTTTAATTGAATCCAGTCGTTCTATAAAATTCTTTTCTTTAAGCAATTTTTGGTCATAAGTAAAATATACACCTAGAGCTTTTATTGGCTCGTCTGGCCATTTAATACCGAATGGTTTTTCTTTATAATGTCTCTTAGATCCAACCCACATACCTTCAGTTTTTGAACAGTTAATCTTGAGTACAGAGAGAATTTCGAATTTGTTAAGTAGTAGTTCAAATAATCTTGCGGCCGAGCTTGCGTCAGCTAACACAGTGGTTGTATCGTCTGCAAACTGTAAAAGCTTAGTTTCCTCAGTTCCTATTGTGATTCCTTTAATTGACTGTTTTTGCCTTATAGCAATTGCTAAAGTTTCTACAGCAATTATAAATAAGTAAGGAGAGAGTGGATCACCCTGCCTAACACCGCGTTCCAGAGTAAAAAAGTTAGAACTAACGCCATTGTTTATAACACAGCTTTGAATGCTGTTATAAAAGGTTTTCACCCATTGAAGGAAGCCTCGACCAAAGTTAAACTTTTTAAGACTCTCAATGAGAAATTCCCATTCCACACTATCAAAAGCTTTTTGAAAATTTATAAACAGCAGTAAACCTGGGATGTTTTCCTTAGCTGTGAAGTCCATAATATCGAAAATAGAACGTATTGCTTCACCAATGAAACGATATTTAACATAACCAGTCTGGTTGTAGTTGATACTGGGCATTAACACCTTTTTAACCCTTGCTGCGATCACCTTGGACATAATTTTCGTATCTACATTACCAAGAGATATTGGCTGCCAATTTTCGAGGAGAGCGCGATCTTTTCCGCCGTGGTTGGTTGAGATTCTCTTATCTGCTTTTAGCCGGATCCCGTGTATTTAGATGTTGTATTGTTAGCATTTCTGCTATAACAACAAGTGACATGGTATTGTTCATTGATATGGATTACATATTCAGAGCCTTTTACGTCAGCAGTTGAAAATTCAGGTTTATCATAAACATTATGAAAGGAGAAGACTTTCTTTAAGATCTCTGACGGCCATCACCTAGTCTAACTGTCATGCAAAATGCATTTACACTTCCGAGATTTATTTTTGGAGTCCTTGAACTACCAGTTATATACCATAGGTCCCCAGGTGAATCATCTTAAAGTGTAAGCTCAAGTGTTTTGGTTTGATTCACCACGGAAACGCTACATTTTATCCGAGCCAATACAACGATGTCAAAGGACAAATATTGTTAATTATTGATTTAATCCGGTCACGAACCGCAATTGTGTTTGATAATGTGAGGATAAATAAGTAAATTATATTAATAACTGAAACAAACTTTTACGAGCTAAGTTACAGAACAAACCTGTTAAATTTAAATGGAAGAAATTAGACGACTTAAGAGAAAAAAAAAAACAAAAAACAAAGAACAACAAAAAAAAAATAAGTCATATATTGCATGAGATATTAAAGGTTTCTATTCTGAATTTTCATAAGCCATTATAATCAACAATATCAGTAACTCTTGCTATAAAAGAATCAAAAATAAAGCTTAATTGAGCACTTGTAAGATGACCGCAATGAAAGCACTGGTGGTATTAGCTTTGCTTGGCTTTGTGCTTGCCTCTTGTTATAAATTCCCATTTATGAAACAACTTAAACAACCGCAAGAAACTGGACTTAAGAAATTTAAGTATGGACCTGAGCAAAGGTATGATTGATAAGATAAGGACACGAACTGATTTATTAGTATTAAAAAAATTAACGGTTGAACATGGGCATGGTGTCTGTCGGTTCTTTTTTTTTTATAACTGCTCCTTCAATTTTTTCTCTAAGTTTTTAAGCAAACTGTTCAGTGCGACGTAAAGAAGCACCCAGCGAGGCACAAAGTTTTTCAGGGTTTCTTTTATAAACTGATTCAATATTGATCTTCCTTTTTCTGATCCTTTCCTCCAAATCTTAATTTATAAGTTAAGTAAACTAACATTAGCCCAAAGTCATTAACTCGAGGTTTTAACGTTAAATGTAATTTTCTGCAGGGATTTCAACCCTAACGCTGTAAAAGGCAGGAAGTACTTTGACGAATTTGGAGGCGTAAAAGGCAGGAAGTACTTTGACGAATTTGGAGGCGAGGCAGATGAAGGCGACTATAATTCGAATCTTCCAGAAGAGCCATACAATGTTCTGCCAAGGAGCCGTAGATCCGCTGCTCCGCCACCTGGGGCTAGTAAGCCCTCAGGAGACTATGACTATGACGATTCCGACTAATTGGAGACGGATAATAAACTTAGCTCAGGCTAGCGAGAAGAAGTGAAAAATAGTGGAAAATGAATTAAACTTAACACTCATATATAGACCATTTAGTCTTATGAATTGTTGGTCAACATTCTTGTAACAATAAGCCTGAAAAAGTCCATGTTGCTTTGGTCGAAATCCTCTTGTGGGGGAGGGTTGGGGGGGAGTACTCGACCACTATTTGGATATAGGTAAGTCGCTGAGCGTTTAAAACCCTGACCCTGTTTAGGACAAAAAATCTTAAAATACATACCTTGTTTAGGATAACAACCTCAATTTTATGACCCTGTTTAGAACAAAGGACCAATGCGCGCCGTCTTGGCAATTGCAAAAGAGCAAATACACATACTCATTATAGCTATCGCTAAGTTCCAACGAGCAAAGGTTTTACCTATAAGATAAGATAAGGAAACATGCAGTCACGCGACAATCACCGAGGGATATAGTCCTCGCTGAAAAGATCCTTGCAAAAGTCCTCCTCTATCCCTTTATTCAGCACAAAATAATCACATACCAGAGTGTTAGTCATTTTGTCAAGGTGAAAAGTTACAGCGCATGACGACTTGTTCGCATATCACTGCGGGATTTTTTAACGCTGCCATCCAGACCCAGATGCAATAAAACGTCGACTGCTTTCCTAATATACTTGTGACATTTGTGGGCTCACGAAAACTGACGCTGTATACCAAGGCGAGGATGACATAATATAGGCTGTTTTACTGCAGGGGCAATAGTAATATATTCTTATTGGGCCATCCGTAAAATAACGTCAAAAATACTGATGGAAGACTAAACCCTGTTACCCCCTCTGGCAGTAGAATTCAATAATTTCATTTCATAGGTCCATGATTGTATAGATTGCTATAGCGACTTTAAATCGGTACTTATGGAGGTGAACTTCCGAAGTACACCTGAAAGTACAGTTGTAAAGGCTTTAAAATACTCCACTCCATCCTTAAAGTTCTGCTTGAGACTCATATGGTGCAATGAATTAATGTGCCAGCTGCGTTCAGACAGCTGTTATGCCAAGCTGTCACTTTTAAGAAGCTTTCTAAACCTTTGTCTCTTCTGCTCTTAGAACACTTATTATTAAATTCTTAGCTCTTAGATGCAAGTTAAGTTGTTTGGCTTTGGTCATTTCTTTAATTTAACATCTTCAAAAAAAAAAAAAGAAAGAAAGAAAAGAAAAGAAAGAGATGCACAGGTTTTATTTACTTAGCTATAGTTATCGTATATCGTGATGTCTTGCCGGATGAAAATGGTAATAACCAGAAAATAGTCGTCCTCCATAAGTACCACTCGTTCCTCGTCAACTGTCTGCCAATAGAACTGCCTTATTAAAGTATATCTTTATTTGACTTTACTATTGATCATTTGAAAGCGTGACTTTTATAAAAAGCTCAAGAACAACAGAAAAGCTTTCATAAATCAATGTAAAGTAAAACGTAATAGGACCAATTAAAAGAAGTCACGAAACGAGCCAAGAGAACAAGTCACGAAGCAAAAACACCTTATTTTTGCACCTTCACAACGAGAGTTTGTAATCGTCATATTTTATAATACACAGTCGTTGCAGCAAAATCTTCAGTTAAGCTTTTGATTAGAAGATAATACTCACCTGTTGACAATCTAAACCAGGAAACAATCCATACATCGAGAGCTTTTCCATGTTGTTTAGAACAGCTGTTCTACTTAACTTAAAAGCAATAGATGACGGTGTGGCGACAAGAGAACGTCCTCATGAATAAGTCACGGAACGTAACGTATTCTATTTCCAAATTGTAGCCTCTTATTTCTAATTTATCCTTTCCAAAATTATAGTAAGTGCAATTTTTTTGTTAGTGCTGAAGTCCAGAAAAACACTTCTTTGTCATCTCGTTTCTTTCTGGCAGACAGCTTTTGACAAGCACTTTCAAAACTTTAAAAGTAAATTAAAATAAATTATGCTAGTTGGGTATAAATTAGAATCTTGGGCTTCTCTCGCTCAGTCTAAACTCAGCTCAAATGTTGCGATACGCGAAAAGAACGAACACATCAGAAATGAAGGCTTTTTGCTGTGCAGTGCTGATTCTTTGCCTTACTACTGGCCATGCAATGCCTCAAATAGCAGGATCACTTTGTAATTCAACGAGTCTTCATGACACTCTCTGTGCGCCATTGCGCATTGGTAAGAAAAAATACTTTAGACAAACGTTTCGTCGCTGCTTAATACCCCTACGTCCCCCGGCCCCTTCATACCCCCATCGTAATACAAGGAGGGAAAGGCTGTACCCCCCTCCCCTAGCGTTTTCGTTAAGTTACCATAGTTTCTAACCATAATAGATAGCCTGTTATGTCGCCTACAAGATGATGTTAATCTTATAGGATATATATGCAAATGAGACTACTGGGGGCCAGTCACGTAATCCAACATGACGGAATTTTTAGATCTTTGACTTTTTCCACTATATGTTTTGTTTTTTCCTTCGAAATTTTAAACTTTTACTCAGAAAATACATTTTAATATTTAACAGTTTAGCACGTAAAAGTTTCTTTAATGCATCGTTAGTTTGCTTAAAAACTACTTCGGGGCTTAAAATAGGTTTCTTTAAGCTTAATTAAGTTGTGATACATTTAAAATTCAACACCACACCTTACTTGCCATTCAATATCTTCTCCATGTATGGGCAGATTTTCACTACATTCACAGCAAATATGCCTCAAAGATAACAGCAACTGAAAATCGACAAGTGCCTAAGTACTGTCATCTAGATAAAACCCGACAGGGGGCGATGTAGGCTTTTATAGATTGGGCTAGCATAATGTTTAGCATAATTTGAGAAAACTGGCAAATTTTTTTAAGACTTAGCATTGCTAGCATAATTCGCATATTTTGATAATTGTCGGAACATTTATGGGTTTCGACAGGCACATTGATTCCCAACCCTAACTGTACGCTGACGTTGTTCGATGGTTTAGCGGTATTTGTAGTTTACTGAGCCCGGTGCACGGGAACCGGAAATCACCTGGCAAACCATGTCTGTCCTATAGCTAATACCTCTCATAGGTATTATGCTATGCCAGCCGATTTGAGCGAAAACTTACAGCTCTCTCAGAGAAATGACGGGCCAGAACCAGCCACAATTGCCAGAGACCGTTATATACCATAGCTAACAAGAATAAACGATTTCTGATTAAAGAAAATGTATTTTTGGACTTATTTGCCATGGTTTTTGAAGAACACAATTAAAAAAAAAGTATCATAATTTGAAAAAACGAGCATGATATTAGCATAATTTGGCCAAAACAACAGCAGTGCGACTGGCATAATATGCTACTTTTACTAGCACCATCTATGAAAGTCTAGTGTGGTGGCGTCCATCTCTCCCCCTCCCCCTCTCATGTATGTCCCAGGATTGTTTGGCACATAAGCCATCCGAAATTTGACTCTCCACTTTAATCGAAACCAGCGCGGCATGGCGCTGCTTCGTTTCGTTACAGAAATCACCGTTCTGAACAGAAGCCCTCTCCGGTATGGTTTTTCATGCCCGTGCAAGGGCTTTCCTGTACAGTGTGAATATAGAATTAGTTGAGTCACCCCATTCATTCGCTCAAATACGTCGGGTTGTTGGCAAGTCAAGACAGAAAGTGATAAGACAGTGAAAAGTTTTGTTTTCTTCTTTGTTACCTTAGTGTTGCGTGCCAAAGTATTGCCACTACAGCTATGGTCGCCCAACAAGAACGGCATTTATAGGCTGGAAGTTAGTCAGATTTTCTCTGCCCCAAATCAAGGAGTATCCTCTATCCCTTGGCCTTACGTTTTTCTTCAAACGCCTTCACCTGCTATTGCCACCAGGTTGAATAAGACGCTGGAGCTAGGTGTTGAGTACGTGCTGACCGGTGTTATCGATCAAACCGGTAAAGTGATGAGGATGAATATGTGCTACTGGCACAAAAAATGGAAGGACATGTCAACAGACGACAAGAAAGAGTTATTAGACAAGTCTTGCAACAAAGACAGTGACAATGAGAACTTACCTTGACATCGTTTGTGACAGAAAAGTAGAATTTAGGCAAATTCGTAGCGGCTGAAGAAAAGAAGTGATATGTAATAAAAAATGTATAACTTTACGCTGTTGTAATGTTATGATTTACATTTAATTTTAATAAACTATATGAAGGAATTGTAGTTAATTAAGCGTCCTCTTTAAGGATTAGGGAGCTTACGAATTGACGACTTTCGCACGACGACGCCGTTGGACTGTGTGACAGGCTTACTGCGCATGCTTATCTGGGCACTTGCCGGCGTCGCGCCAAAGTCGACGCCGTTGTTGACAGCGATTCGCTGGCGTCCTAGAAAAAGCAGGACGTGAGACTTATTTTCAATGTTTTCCCTACATACTAGGGACATGTTCTTTATATATGTGACCCTCCACAGGAATTTGATGCTAAAAGCGTGCCGTAGATCACGGATATGCGCATATTAAATTGAAAAAACAAAGACGGACACACTTGCCTTTGTTTTGGTAAATTTAACACGCTAAACCTTTTGTTTTTTTGTTGCGTGCCATGTGTCACGGTAAGTGTGTGAATTATAGCACGCTTAGCGTGTAATTTGGGTAAGACACACTGAACACGCTTGATTACTAAAAGTGCTAAGATGATACTGAATGGCTTGGGCTTTCAGCAGATTTAATCAGCATTGATAACTGGTCTAAGTGAATCAAATATACCAATTAAGACTGTTTTGGAGTTTGATCGTAACCGTATCCATTTAAAAATCATGACTTAGTGGTGGTCTAGCCTGGAATTAACGCGAGATCAGTGTAAACCAATTCCTCCGGCTGTCGGCTGTTGACCGGAATCGCAAAGAGGCCAGCTATCACATGCGAGGCACTGAAGTTATGTCGCCTGAAAATTATAGTTATGCCACCGGAATATTTATTAGCAGTAATGCACAGAGAAATGAAGTTGAATAAACTAGTTTAATATATTTCTTTAAGCCTTGTTGAGACGAACGGAGGTAATTAAATCGGAAAAACAAAAACTGCCTAGAATTTTCTATAGGTTGAGGAAGGCTAACCATTTCTAGATGACCGTTCCATGCATGTAAAATTTTCGAAGCTTATCTAATAAATTCCTTACGATTTTCTGAAGTTTATTTTTTTCCATTTCACTCCCCAAGTTAAGCTATTTTTCGTAGAGAATTAAGGAATCCTAAAATTTTCCGAACCGAAAACATTTCTGCAAAGAACTTTGATTTTGCAATGCTAATATAGTTCTACCCATAAATCCAGTAGGTCCAACCGTTCACTGTTTATACTTTTCAAGCGACAACGTTTTTTCAATCAGATACTATCGCTGCGATCGCGGAGGTATAACTTTTTCTTTCTCGATAGTTACCAAAAAAGGGTGCCGTTTATAATCACTTACGGTTCCTTTTTGTAGAGGAAATTTATTTAGCTTATAGATAACACGCCTTGCGTGCTTTTGCGCACACTGAAAGCGTGTTGTGCTTTTTCGCACGGAGCTTTTGTTTGAAAACTTTAACGGGCTCTTTTGTTCGACTTGCTCACGCTTAATTGTCTCAAGCGTGTCCTCTGAAACAAAAGAAATTGCTAATGAGGCAAGATTGAAAGCGTGCTAAAGCGTGTTAAAATAAATTCTTTTGTTTTAAAGTGAAAGCGTGTCGTGCGCGTGCTTTCACCTTTAGCATTAAAATCCTGTGGAGGGTCACATATGTTTTCGATTTGTTTGTCTGTTTTCATTGGAGTAACGACCCGAAGAATCAACACCATAGCTAGCTGTAGACATAAACAAATTAACACCGAGTGAGACCATATTGGAAAGATGGTACCAAAGCTACAACTAGACCATTGCTAATGGTTATCTCATCACAGTAACTACAGCTGTTCAGCAAGTTTATAAATGTCTTCCCTGTGTATAAACGCGCCTTGCATTCGTCCTTTGTTGTCTCGTCTAAATCCGTAGTTAACTCGGATTTTGTTGACGTAACGCATAAAAGTAGAAATACAGTGAAATACTCGGTCCTTCATAAATCTGTTTTCATAAGCGTCTGCAATACGAGCTCTCGTTTCTCTTATGAATTTAGACATTTTCGTTGAACAAATAATGTTACTTCTGAAAAGAAGAAAACAAACTTCAGAAACGGCGGGGAAATTTGCCTGCCGCGCGCAACAACGTCGTCGTCTGTACTGCGAATCGTAAATTCAAATTTCTAAAGGACAGCAAAGGAGAACTATGACGTGACCCAGCGGCGGCGTCGTGCAAAAGTCGTCGATTCGTAAGCTCCCTATTATTACTTTTTAGGTGGCCTTGTTTCTTCGATAAGCTTTCGCGAGTGTTTCCAGTTTTTCATGTTTTCTTCGTGTTCCAAGTGAACTCAAGTTTGCAAAATAAAAAATGTTCAAATTTTGAAATCCATTATAACTAGGTTACTATTGATAATATTTATATTGTAATACGATGAAAGACGCAGTATGCTAGTATCTTGAAAAGACAAAAGTTATATGGTTCACATCCCGATTTACCAAGACACCCAACATCGAGAAGATATTTTTTGACAATTCCGTCATTTAACTAACTGATAGAGTTCGTGATCTTGGAGTTATTTTAGGCAAATACCACATAAATGAGACATGCAGTAAAGAACATCACTGAGGTCCATAGGGCGCATCAGCAAATGCTCCACTAACGAAAAAATCAAACTGTTAGTCAATGCTCTTGTAATAAAACGTGTGGACTACCGCAACAGTACCCTTTATGGTCTTCCAAAACAGGAAATGGAAAAACTTCAAAGAATTTAAAACCGTACTGCAGCAGGTCTTGTTACTGGAACTAAACATTATGAACACATCAAACCATGCTCTTCGAGAACTACACTGCTGGCTGCCATTTGAATCACGCATAATTCATTCTTAAATATTACTTTCAAGGATCTCTAGCCTATTGGCCGACAGCCCACCACGTGACCTTCAAATAACTGCCTACAAATAATGGTCTGCTCATGCGCAATGCCGTCCAACTGTGTTTGGCTGCAAATAATATCATGCACATGCGTAAAGGAAACCGTGCTTCTCTCCTTCTTGCAATCGCTCTTGCGTGAAAACGGCAGATAGCTTCACGCGCTTCCCGAGGATATTCATTAAAAAAAAAAACAAACTCGGTGGTCGAATGAGAAAACAATTATTGAACTCGGTTATCGCAAAATATCGTGATTTGCCAGTGTCTCGCAGATCATTTATTAGCCTCAGTCTTCGGCTTCGGCTTCGGCAAATAATTGATCTCTTCGCCACAGACAAATCACGATATTTTGCTCAACCTCGTCCAATAATTGTTAATTATTATCTCATTATTATTATTATTATTATTATTATTGCAAATGATACCGGCAAAAGTAAATTATAATTATTTTATACTATATAAAGTTTCGAGTTTAAACTTTAAAATAATTTGATCAGAAAGGGTTAGCTTTTTCGTCTTTCTTCGGTGCCGCAAACTGATTTACAAGTGTGGCCGAGGATTTGAACTCGGGAAAACCAAGAACAAATCCAGCAAGTGGACAGAGTGGGACTCGAACCCGTGAGCTTGCAGTGTGCTGTTGTTTGTATGACTATGTCATTTCTTTCCTACCAAATATCAATAAACTAAACTAAACTAATTTTGGACTGCATTGAAATATAAAAATACCAATTTGTACGGTCATCTAATATGATGATCAAAGAGTTCTATTTGTTTCTTTGTCGAGCGTTTTTAACATGAGCCTCTGGCTCGGAAGATTGTGTTTACTTTTCCAACGTCTTCGACATTAAATAAATCATTCATTCATTCATTAATTCATTCATTCATTCATTCTAGGCTTTCTGGGTTATATTGGGTTATTCATTTTCATGTCTTAGACGATTCAGCTGGTGGAATAACCACTGCTGTCTACTTAAAAACAGTATAGATGTTCTTTACGGTCCGAATTTCAATTGCTAATTTGTCTTATCATTTCTGTCAGTAATTTATAGGTGCACTACAGTTCAATTCATCCAGTATAATACCCTCCATTCATAGCCTCCGACAGTTCTTGATCAGTAACATTGTGTTAGGGTGCTGTAAAGTAGTGTTTATCTGTGACACACCGTTCATTTTAGATCACTTTATGCTTAAAAGGAAAGGAAAAGGTTTAAACTTCTATTGCTAAATATGACACCGATAAAGGTGCAAACTGCGACGCCGAGATTGGAGTCGAGAAGGCTCCGTGAATAATATAGCAGATTTTTCTGAAAACATAATCATGTCCTCGAAAAACACTTCTGAATCTAAATTTCAATGAACTGGTAGTAGGCCATTAGGTTTCGTAGACAGGATATATTATGCCAGTCAACTGTGAAGAAAGAACATTTACTGAGCACAAGCTGCATGCATCACGAGCTTAATAATAACTAAAGTTTTCACATCGGTTTATATCAATTAATTGTTTATATGGTTGCCCTAAGAGTTTCCAATACAACATAACAACGAAAACTGTGCAGTGCTATTGTTAAAAATGCAAATAATTGTCACCTGTCATGCTTCACTGTTGTATCTATGTATATTTTAATGGACAGAAAGTCATGAAAAATACCTCTTTTACCCCCTAACGTGTTTAGTTTTCTGAAGTCGATCTGTTTGAGCCGCTACTCGTGTGGTAAAGTCGCCTATTTTCGTAGCCAAATGCATCCTCTTCTCAAGAAGGCTGTTTTCCGTGTGCTAATTTTTTACGTTTATGGTCTGTTTTTCGCTTGGATGTTCACCTTGATCGAGGAAAGGAATGAATCAGTTCAAAGTAGAATTGCAAAGGCAATAAAAAGAATAAAAAATGAAGCACAGGAGAAATATAACATGACGGACAACGATTTTAATACTTTTGTAACGAAGGCCGCTGAAGCAATGAAGGGAGAAGATGAACTTCAATGGACTTTTCTGAATAGCCGTGCGTTCGTTTTCGCAGCCCTTACTACGGTTGGTAAGTTGTTTAAACAAATTCAGGTTCTGTATTGGGTAGGTAGGTAGGTAGGTAGGTAGGTACTTTATTAAATACATTGCAGCATAAGCTGAATTGCGTATTTACATAATGGTAATAATTTATGCTAATAATTGTAAAAATGAGTAATAATTGTAATAGCTAAGACTTAAAACGTATAATAAGAAACCTAAAAAATATTTACAATTCTGCCTGAGGCCATAAAAAAAAAACTGTTCTTAAATCCATTTGTCTTGCAACGCAGCAAAGTGAAAGTGCGCGCGTGCCTTAGATTATAGTTGCTCCTATAAAGAGGCGGCAACAACTGTCTTAACTTGTGGTTCGGGTCGCTCATTATGCTTATGCGTGCAAATGTTGTGGTAATGCTCCGCAACCGTTGGTAAACTCATAAGCGCTAAAGCTTGCTGATATTCTATACCAGGACATATGATTCGCATTGCTCTTCGAAACGTCATTCTCGAAACTAACTTATAGTAAACCAAGTACTTGAGTGTTTCTGCTTCAGGATTATTGCTACAAAAAAAATAATCTGCCCTCGTCTCAACAACTCAATACAACTACCTTCCATTTTAGTGTTTATATACATTTTAGGGTTTAAATTTTTGCATTAACAGGGTATGGAAACATCACACCCTAGACACAAACAGGTCAAGGAGTGACTATCCTCTTTTGTATTATTGGCAGTCCAATAAGCATGTTGGCAATGAAATCGGTGGGCGAACTCTTGGCCATTGGCGTCAGGTTTCTTATCGTCAAGACAGATACTATCGTGCTAAAAAAAGCCCAGCGCCCGGGAACAGTGAAAGTCAACGCATTTGTTATGTCATGCACTTTAATTTGCTTCTTGCATGTTATCTTGGCGACCGCGTCAACCACTTCTATTGAAGACTGGAGCTTCTTGGAGAGTCTCTATGCCTGGTTTACAACTTTCACCACGATTGGTTTTGGCGACTATATACACTTGGATATCGTTCACTTGAAAGACAGCACACGGGGATATGTCAAAAATCGGTCTCATATGCTATGGCTTTCTCTTATCTTTGCCATATGTTTTGGGTCTTAGTCTCATGTCTTGTATGTTATGGTGCCTTGTTGATTCTGTTGATCAAATAAGACACATTCGTGATAACTGCATGAAATGTTTCTCAAGTGTGAACTCACTAACAACCCGTTTTTTCACTTGGAAGAGATCAAGCTGCAATATAAGGCCAGCAGATAATTTGGCACGTAGCACGCCTGGACTTGAAATTGAGCTCAGTTCAAAGTAAAGGCCTCAAATGCAATTTCAATAGGTAATAAAGGCTCAGTACAAATTTCCTCGTTTCTTGTTATGAAGAGAGACAGAAGTGTCACCAATTACAACGTCTTTGAGCAACTCTCAGTGACTGCTATAGATTGTTTAGACGCAATGTCATCGAAACAGGCCCGGGTACCATCCTACTGAGGTGAGCCGATCTGAGGCAAGTGCGAGACAACACATTTGTTTCATTATCCGCTTTAGCGACTAGTACAGACTTGGAATCACTTACAAGGAAAGCAACAACGAAGAAGTCCCTAAAGTTCTACGGCATTCTGTCAACTTTGCCATAAGTCGGTGATCTTAGTCTTCAAATCAAATCAAATCGCTGGTTTATTGTCCCTTTTGCAGCCGGAGGACTGAATTGTAGGATACCTTACAAGCTGTGATACTGTATACTAATAAGCTACATTTATTGACAAGATTAATATTTAACACCAACAAAATTTGAGAAACGTTCAGTCCTTGTGGCCATTGGCCTGCTAAAACTCCCTGATCTTAGACACACACTGGTAGATATAGATACCACTCTGTTGTGAATTAGTGGGTATAATGGGTTACCTGGCCGAACCTTTCCCATAAGTTAAATACACGAGACTGCCCAATGGTCAGAAAGAGTGGATAATGCAGCTTTGGCAGGTGCTGCTTCATACAAAATACCAGGCCAAATGACTGGTTTCGAGAGGACCCTGTTTTGCACGTTCTCAAGGTAGCAAGCAAGATACTTAGGCAAGTCAGCAAAGACAGCGGGGGCGTGCTCTAGTATAGAGCTAATTAACGCGCAGTAGACATGAACAATATCAGCCGACGGAACTTTGCACTTCTTGAGTTGTCTCAGTGCATAAAGCCGTCTGTTGGCCTTCTTCACTATGTAGTGGAAGTGCACTGCCCAAGTGAGGTCCTCAGAAAGATGGACACCTACGAGCTTAAATGTAGAGACCTATTCAATATCGGACCCACCAACCGCGACTGGGAAGTAAGAACTACAGCTGGAGCTAGCCGAAATAACAGCTAAAAAAACATGGCAAAAACTGCAAAAAGACAACTTTGAGGGCTACATCTGCTATTTGGAGAATATTTGCGGAGCTGGACAAACCTGAATGTATACTATCGAACCTGAACTTAACATCGATACAGGTAAGCAGGTTTTAGCTATTTTTTTTAAACTAAGAATTAATTATCATCAACTACTACATTCAATAAGGATGGCGAATTGCGAGGTAGAGCTTCCAAAACCGTCAGATCATCCACGAATTTAATGCGCCAACGGGTGTGACCTGAGTCTTACCCGCGTTATGTATTTTATGGTGCCTTTTAATTCGTAGATGGGGAAAAAATGCTGCCATCTATGAATGAGTCGCGTCCCAAATTTGAACTAAACCTTATTTTTATTCATTCAAAATATTTCCCCGATTCTGATTGGCTAAAAACACACGTTTAATTCACCAAAACCAGTACCGATAACCAAATTTGGAAGAGTTTTGTGTTTAGCGAGTAAATGACGTCAAAAATGCAGCGTTCTTGCAGGTTAATGCACCGTTAACCGAGAAGACATGGGGACGAGGTTGAGTTGTTTTGGTTGTGAACTTGAAAAATGGCGGACATTTCACTCGTTTCAAGAGTAAGAACTACAGCTGGAGCCAGGCGAAATAACAGCTAAAAAAACATGGCAAAAACTGCAAAAAGACAACTTTGAGGGCTACATCTGCTATTTGGAGAATATTTGCGGAGCTGGACAAACCTGAATGTATACTATCGAACCTGAACTTAACGTCGATACAGGTAAGCAGGTTTTAGCTATGTTTTTTAACTAAGAGTTATTTTGAATGAATAATAAAGCAATTAATGAATTCTGCTTTCGTAAGATATGAAGAATTAAGCAGATCTCGAGGCCTTCGGCCTCGGTGGATAACACCATCCTCGATCTGCTTAATTCTTCACTTCCTACTCAGCCTCATTCATTAATTGCTAAATATCAAACCCTAACCAAAGGTACCCCAAGCTCACGAGTGAGAATCACTGCCGCGTAACATTACTTTTATTTTCGCCGGTAAGTACTCTAGTATGTAACATTTTGCGGTATTTAAATGAATTTGTTGGTTTGCTGCGGCCTTCTTCGACTACTTTAGGACTGGTTCAGAAGCACCGTGTCTCGAGCCTAAGTTAAGTTCGACAAAAGTTCGACAGACTGTGTCGAACTTAACGCTTTGGCGAACCGAACGAAATCTGACGTACCAAATTGATTCAAACACCGCTCTTTTCGTGAACATGGCTTCACACTTGTTGACAAAGTATGTACTTGAAGTACAAGCTGTCAATCACCTATCGCAGTAAAATCATTTAACGTGACTAATTGCGTCAAAAGCTTAAACTAAGAGGCCTTTGCTCTGGAAAAGAGTTTTTTGCCGTTTCCTATTTATTTTTTTGTTATTTTTAACTCTAAGGGTTTGAACTGTAAAAGAGATGCTTATGTGCTTCGTTTTTTACGAGTACTTGGAGGGGACAGAACAAAACAACAAAAACAAAACAAAACAAAAAACAAGCGACGTCTTCCTCAGTCTTTCACTAGAATGGCTGAACAACGCACTTTTTGGCAAAGAAATCGCCATAGGGCTTGCGCTTGCCGTCTTCCGCAATGCTTTTTCGCTAAGCGAGACATGGATGTCAATTTATCCGTTCATTATTAGAAACTTGGAACTGCTGCACGTGTACATGTCTTCAATTTCTTATTGGTCAAGTGTGTTGTCAAGTGTGGTGTAGACCATACTTCAACTACTTTTCAGAAAAAAAAGGCACTTGCTTGAAACGTCTCTAATTAAGCTTGGTTTGTAATTAATATAACTTTAACAACTATTCATCTTCCGGAATATTATACATTTGGAGTCAACAAAGCAGGGAATGGAGAAGTTATTCAGTATTCATTCACCTAGCTGATGGTCAATCTGTCCGTACTGAGGTACACTCAGCTGGAAAGGAAATGAACACTTAAGATAGAATTTCCTAAGGACAATACATCAAAAATTCAGCCTTTAAAAAAAGAAACTTACTGTACGTAACATTCATAACGACAACAACAACAGCGATTCTATTGCACTTATAACTGGAAAGATTACTGTTATTTATTCATTTATATAATTTTTTTATTTTTTTACATCTTAGTTTTCCAGCATACACAATAATCACTTTTTGCCCGATCTATCTTCTCACCTGGAAATACGTTCTCTTTAAAGTAATTAGCATGTAGGTTAACAACTTACAGTTTTAGATCATCAATGATTTAGGAGGCAAATGAGCATGCTGAAAGCAATGTTATTTTGTTAATTGCCCTGACTAGAGGGAAAAAAATCCTGATTGCAGTGTTTTGCAGTATTAAGAAGCACTTTCTAAAAAACCGATTCAGACTGTGATTGAGTTATTGAAATTTCTCAAAGCTTAAGGAGACAACTATCCATGAACGGCTTGGAAACTAAAATTTCGAGGACGTTTTTGGACTTTTTACATTTAGGGCATGAATTTTTCGTCATTTCAGGCCATGGAACCTAAAAAATGAGCCTAGCTAGCTGTAAGAAGGGGCAATACGGAGGCAATACGTCCTATCCGGCATGCCCACATTCTGTTTACGGAAAATTTCCTCATCCATGTCAGGAAATTCTGTATTTTAAAGCCTCCCCTAGGGCATGACTCAGCAATTGATGACATTTCTGCTATGTTTTCGTTGTTGGTTAGCATGCATGGATTTTTCGCATGCCTATCGTCAATGATTTGCTCACTGGTAATAGAGGGGGTGGCCCTAGAGTAGTTTTGCATTGAAATTGGCATGCAACAGAATTTCGCATGCCCTGTAAGCATAATTTGAGGTTCTGTGACCTTCTCACCCAGGCCGCGAGAACCCTAAGTTCTAGTAATAAGTAATTCATACCCAGCAAAATCTCCGGCATGCCGGGCATGCCAAATTTTCTGACATGCCCGGCATGCTAAATTCTCTGGAATGTCGGGCGTGCCATAATCTGGGTCATGCCGGGCATGCCAAAATTGGTATCTGGCATGCTCTCAACGCACAGGTTATAATTCCTTGAATCTACAGATATTTTAAGCCTGGCTAAAAACAAAAAAAACGAAACAGATCACAGTGCTTATCTTTTGATGTACGGTTACACGATGACGTCATTGCTATTCCTCTCATTTTCATAGATTTGGTTGTCCCAGAGAACTTTAAATAACAAAAGCTCTAATTTTCACAAGCAAGTAAAACCCTGAGGGATTCGTCGGTAGTAATAAAACAGCGTCATCGTGGAGATGACCTGTTGGGGGATTGTAAAAACTCCTCACCCCTTTTAATGAGTGTTTAATAGGATTCTCATTTCACATTGCGAATAAAATGGAATTGACTGAAATCAGTAAAAAGAGAGACAGAGACTATTTTCACTGTATAATAAAATGCATCTATGTTCCATGAAAGCTTTTAAAAATACAAGGTTATAGAATATCTTTCAAAGTTCATTACAAACTGAGCTAAGCCCCAAAATCATTGTTCATTATTCAGTAAATTATGATGTTTGACAATGCAATGTGCTTGAATATAACGTTGCAATTACAAATCTCTCTAACGCAATTTTCCCTACGTTAGAAAAGCTGTTAGAAAGTCTGAGTTCCTCTTTCTTGTTTTGTAGGCTTGCCAGGGATTAATGTTTTTGTGTCATTACCAGTGTCTGTGTTCTTTGTTTTTAACTCAAAGTAAGTCAGTAATAACTGACAGTATCAAAGAATTGCTCTCTAGAAAAGTAATTATCTCCTCGTCATGTCTGGAAGTTACCTGTAACAAAAAAGAAATGGAATGTTAACACATGCAAGCGCAATATGAAAAAAAGAAATAGAACATGTAGACTCAGCTTCTCTTAACATATTTTCATACTGGCTTGTTGAGTCTGTTAAAGGTCGCAACTAATTGTCTGAGGCTAATTTCACAAGAGTGTGCAATTGAGATAAATGCATGGTAAATAAAGTGAAAGAAACGTGGTTTCACATTAGCCAATTTACATTGTGCTGTTCGATGATGTTTACAAGCTTTTCTACTGCGAAATAAACCTTTGTATTTGGATTTGCAAGTCAAGATTATACCGAGTTTGACTGACACTTAATTGAACAACAGTTTCATTTTTAAGCAGGTAAGGTGTAGACCCATATAAAGCCGGAATATGTAAAGGAAACTCAGCGAAAACTTTTTCGCATCTTTTTGTGGCGATATTCTCTCACGGCCCGTCAACTGATTAGGGGTTGCGAAGAAAAAATAAATTAGGACCAAAGGTTAAAGCCTGTCCGGTTACACCATTTCGTATGTTACCTAGTGTTCTAATAAATAGGTCACAAAACAGGATTTAACGAGTGCGAATTTGTTTCTCAATCGGTGTATAAAAAAGTGAGGCTATCAAATGAGAAGTTTATAGAGTATCAAAATTATTAAATTAAAAGCTCATATAATTAGGAAAATTCCTATACGAAAATAATGCTAGTGACATTAAATTGATCAGATAAAATTCTCAGAAAATATGTCGAATAAAAGCCTCATTGTTTGCTTTGTTTTTGCGTAAAGGTAAATTTTTCGGCCCACAAAGCAAAGTTGAAAAAGCGACTAAATCTTAGTTTTTTACATTGAACATTTTTATTGGCTTAGTTTTCGTCCGTTTTAAAAGCTTTATAACCCAATCATAATTTAATCATAAAATAGTACAAAATTATTTCAAAAACCATGTTCATTGAAAGTAGAGCCGGCAAACGTGAACATTTTGTAATTCAAAAGTCGGACCCAGCCAGGTTGTTTAAGCTTAGAATTATTTGCATTTTAGCGTCCTATAAATTTACCAGAATCGCCTCTCAGAGGCTTACTGTAGCAAAGCATTTTGTAGTACACTCGTAGACAAGCAATGTAAGCCTTAAGTCTTTGCTTGGATGAGATGTCCAAAAGAAAAATTAGTTTTGTGGACCTAAACACACATTCACAGACTGCTTATATTGAGTTGTTTACAACTTTGCATTGACACACGCGGTATGTTCATTTTTTTAAAGCGAAATCCAAATCTGATTTTGGCATTTGATTTACGGATATTATATTTTGTCTCCAAAAGTCAAACTATGCAGCAAAAATAAGTAACTTTACCAGTACAGTGAAAAAAATATGACCGTAGGTGCCAAAAATAATTATACTCGAGCTATAAAATTAGATCTGACTTTTTTTAGCTTTGGTTTCTTATTATTGAAGTTTTCTCTAGTCTTCTTAGCAGCAGAAGAAGATTACAAGACATACAAACAGAAACAATCCGAAGTGAACGAGATGACAACCACTTATGCCGGAGTTCTTAGGCATGCTCAACAGCAAGATAAACTGAATGCCTAAAGGCTAATTCACGGGATTTGTTCAATATTCAGGCTTTTTCTTTACCAAATTAATACTAAATTTGTACTTACAGTCTCTCGCAGAATCCATTTCTTGTTCAGCATTCACCAACATCTCAACCATGCACCGCAGAAAAAAAAGACAAACAAGTGCGAAGAGACATGACGACATCGTGACGCCACAACTGCCACGCTACAACAAACTAGATTCATCGTCATCCGAAAACACTTCTGCGGAAATTCGGCCGATTTCGTGCGTGCTCGGGGTATCTTCGGATGACGCAGATGACGTTGCTCAAAGGACTATCGTCAGCAAGGAGTAAAACAGTTTGCGAGATTCGCATAGCCGACAAGGAGCGCACTGAAAAACTAAGCAAAATCTCTCTGAGAAGGCAGTCCAAATTCACCAAATCCGAACGTCTTTGCAGTATTAACGTCGTACTCTCGTATTGACTTGAACGACCTGGTAAGCTTAATTTTCACCAGTCTTTTAATGCTGTCGGCCAGGAAACATTCCGACGCCATAAAACTTAAGCATGGATAAGTTCATACTGAGAAGATTTGTTATCTTATTGTTTAAGACGCTTTTCCCCGATCAAATTTAAATCTGGACCCAGAAATGTCAGTATCGGTTTGAAATAAAAGGATTGATCTTTGATTGCAAGTTCAGTATTCTATTTTATGCATGAATAATGTTGTTTTGTTGTGCTTTTTATTTCTAAATCCAGGCTTCTGTCTTCAGTTTTGCCAGTCGATCCCGTGACACACATTGTGACAAACATGACTTTTTTTGTTATAATCTGCATTTATTGCCAGGCATGAAACCTGGAACTTCAAGCTCCCTAAGATATATTTGGCGATTATATGTGATTCTCAGGATATGATGCTGAAGCGAACATCAAAATCAGTCTCGCTGGGCATGCCAATTTCTTGCCTGGCATGCCGGGCATGCCAAACCAAGTGGCTCCACCATCGGCATGCCCGGCATGCCAAACCAGAGGAGCAAAAACTGGGAATGAATGATCAACCCGGCGAGAGATCTGGGACCTAAGGTTGGCTGGGTCAATTTTGGGCTGCGTCGGCTGCGAGGGCATGAACCCATTTTTTCTATGCCTATGAGATGTTATTTCTAAGTACAAATGTTCCCTTGCATTTTGTCATGCCTAAATATATAAAATTTTCCCTCTCTCATTAATCCTTAGACTGGATGCGATTTTTACGCTCGCTAGGCATGTTCAACTGAAAATCCTTCCCATACCCTCATTCAGAACAAAATGCTATCAAATTTTACTTTCCAACCCGTTCATGTAAGTATAAAATTGATTTTATTCTGATTTTTTGAAGAAAAGCTGATTTTATGTAGAAAATGCAGGAAAAATGATCGCAAAATAATGTAAGTGGAAAAAAGATCTTCTTCAACATTCCAGTCAATTGCAAAACTGACTGCCACTGAAGCATTTAACTGAATTGAGCAAATCTTCGAGGATGAAACAAAAGAGTTTACACCGAGTTCGGTTTCTGTGTGTGCCATCGTGACCAACGAAATTGGTCGAACAGTCAAGAAAGGCATAACTGTCAAAAAGAGCAAAAAAAATAATACCTTCAAAAACGACACATTTTAGCCACTTCAGGCAAAAACAAAAAAAGTCAAGTCAACTGTTTCGCTCTTTGTGAAGTAGACCTCCGACCAGAACTCGCTTTACTGGACTTGGGAAGTACACAACAAACGGGCAGTTAAACGTTTCGCAGTGTTCTTTTGGGACAACCCGTTTGAAAAGAAAAAAAACGTTTTCAGGGTTTATTTGCTGGTTAAAGTTCCTAATAGAGCACTCTTTCGCCGGATTGTGATTGCGCATCATCAATTCTATACCTTATCAATCTACTTCTCCAGCAAGGTTTGTCAAAATGGCGAAATCGAGAAAGGTCACCGCGGTTCTCAGTCAAATGAACAATTCAGATGGTAGGAATAAAAAGGACAATTTGTTTTAAAAACGGCGGAAACTGTAGCCTGATCTTGCATTACAGGCTATTTTGACGATGATATAAGCTTATCCCATTTAGCTTAAGCTAACGGCACTGAAATGCGTTTCAAATTTAGAGAAAAAGAAGAAACGTGCTTTGCGGCTATCAAGTATACAGGAAAAAGAAGATTTTTTTTCTGTATATAAGAACATCTTGTAATCAGATCTCTTACGTTTTTCTTTTAAAGTGAAGTTGTATAAAGACCGCCATTGTTATTTGGCATGTTAACAAATTTCTTGAGAGACTTTAAATTCGCGAGCACTTAAAGGGCAAAATTCGCGGTACGATCACTGTGGAAGGAAAGGAACCCATCGAGTGACTTTCGTCATTTTAACTAAGGCCTGCATGAGCTGTTTGAAGCGGTTAATGAGCCAAAACATCAAAAACCAGCATTTTATTTCTAATAGAACACACACGCACACACACCAAAAAAACCACAAGAATATTGAACGCGAACTTAGTTTCGTGTAGCACCACAGTTAACCAAACAATGTTATAAAATGTAGAGAAAACTATTAATTGTAAGACACGTGACTTCTGGCACGTTTTTGGAAACATTCGGTTGTTGGGTGCCCTCGTAGTTTGGTATTTCATTGGTGTTTATATACTAGACGAAGTCAATCAATATAAATCGATATAACAAACGGGTAGTCGGTATCAGTCGATATCATTCGCCAATTGTTATCCGGATCCATTTATCAATAAAAATCGAAGTCCAGTTTTATCGATTGTCAAAACTCGATAACAGTCCCTAGCAATCCATAGCGGACAATAATTCTAGAGAATATGCGGTGCAGATTTTCTGAATATAGCGCTGCTATTTGGTGAACAGCAGGAGACCGGCTTTAGCTTTTTTCAATAATAAAAACTGCGTTATCCGTTCGAAATCTTCACCAAAGCCAAAGACAAAAGTTCCAAGTTCTTGAAAGGACTCGTAAGTGAAGGTGCAAACTTTTTCATATTTTTCATGATCAGCAAGTCAGCCATGATGCTATGACGAGGAACAGTGTATTCCATTCATGTTGTTTTTTCTGGCTTTGTCAATTGAATTTCGAAAGAAATCCATTTTATACCAAAGGAGCAAAAACCTAAACTGATGGACTTCACGACTCAGCATAGCTGTGCAAATCGTTATCTCAATACAAAGAGATGCCAAAGACTTTTTTTACAGTATTTTTCTTGCATCTGCACTTCCATATTTTGTTACATTCTTATTTAAAATTCTCATTCATTAGGGCCCACATTGATATCATCTCTGCTGAAAAAGAATGTTTCCCAATTCACAACAATTTTTTCTTGTTTTATCTGAGACATATATACCAATTGGAAAATAAGACACCGAGCAATATAAAAAATGGAAACATTTCTTTTCCTCGCTGAGTCTTGTTTCCTAACTCCAAAAACTCACCGTGAATGAGAAAGTTTTCTTTGTAGCTTCTTACAAATGCTGTCAACAGCGGCTACGAACAAGGTGAGCGTTGTTTATCTCCAATGTTCTTTGCCTTGTTAACTTGCTGGTATGTACAATTTTCGAAAATATTTGCCTTCCTCTTTTCTCCATAAATTAACTTCTATTTATAAGAAAAATTGGTCTTGCGAGAAAATCCCGAAATCACAAAACAGTGACAAAGCGACCTCGTTTTCCTCTGTAATGGTAAACATAGCTTCGAGCGTACAAAAAGTCATCAACAGTAAACCACTTCATAATAAATCACGCTGTTTAAACACCATGAAGTCTTTTCTTGCTTTCAAAGTCATCGGCACTTGGATATTCGTGTATTTTCAAAAAAAACTTTACTATGAAACTTTGGCAAAACACCCAGTTCACGACAGCGATTTTGTTCTGCTTTATATTCACCGCCTAGCGCGGTGAATATAACGTCATAGTGCGAAATAGCTAACCAATCAGATTGCTTGAATTACTAAGATCACTGAGTGTGTATATACTAAATGGAATTAACACTGCTGTAATCTAGTTTAATATTTGTAAGTATTACCAGGTAAGTGTGTAAATTCACTATTTTTTTCCTTTTTATTCATTTATTTATTCCGTCTAATTGCGTAACATATTAAGTAATTTTGTCTTACTACCAATTCCCTTTTTATAGCAAAATGCGTCGTCTTCTCTGCAAGGCAATTATGCAGATCCTCATATTATACCTGTATGCCTTGTTTATAGCCTGGATTTTTACCATGATCGAGAAATTGGACGAAACAGCACACCAACGAATGGAAAGGATGCTAAAGGACCTAAGAAATGAAGTAGAATTTCAATATAACATGACAGACGATGAATTTAATAGTTTTGTCAAAATAGCCGCTGAAGCAATGAAGGCGAAAGAAGAACTGGACTGCAATTTTTTCAACAGCTGCAATTTCGTTCTCGCTACTCGTACCACGATAGGTAAACCACAGATAACGCATGGAAGTTATTTCTCTCTGCCAGCTTTTTTTAGTAAAGAGAAAAATACTAATTATTGTAAGGTACCGTCAACGATGAAGGTTTCAAAACAGTAACTGAAATGTGATTAAATGCACAGTGGGGATGGAAAAATCATTTTGTAATGATTATAAAACGTTTCACTCCGTGATTTCAAAGATTCATTCAAAATCGGACACTGTCTGCAGCATCTTTTTTTGTTATTATTATTATTATTATTATTATTATTATTATTATTATATAAACTCCACTTTGCCCAAATTATATATATATATTTACTGGTAATATGCAACCTAATAATTAGTTTAAATCAAGTAGTAGCAACTCCTGAATTCTGCATTTTCAGGTTATGGAAGTATAACACCCAAAACGAGACTCGGGGCGCTTTCCATTTAGTCAAAATTTCCGGAATTTCCGGTTCGGCGGTAAATGGAACACGTTTCGTCGGTTCGTCCCACTGGAAAATTCCCAGAAAAAGTGGAAAATCTAAAAAGGTGGTCCCGTTTTCCCGGTTGGAATTTCCGAACGGAATGTCGTGTTCCATTTACGTTTCTCGTAGTTTGTACCAGTTCCAGGTCCACGGTCGGGAAACGCCACGTACCGGGGTTTACGACCAAATGGAACAACTTTTTACCAATCGGAAATTCCACTTTTGCTACCACCCAAATTTCCGGGTTTTTTTCCTAAATGGAAAGCGCCCTCGGTCAAGGTGTAACAATCATCTTTTGCACCATCGGCATTCCTATGACCATGCTTGCCATGAAGTCACTGTGAGAACTATTAGCCATCGGCGTCAGATCCCTGGTTATCAAAACTGAAACCATTCTTCTCAATAGGACCGAGCCAAGGCATGTGAAATTGAATACAATCTGTGTGTCGGGTTACATAATTGTTTTCCAGCATGTCATGCTGGCGAGTTTGTCAACCTCCTTTACTGCAAACTGGAGTTTCTTAGAGAGTTTTTACGCGTGGTTCATAACTTTGAGTACGATCGGTTTTGGCGACTATGTGCCTTTGAAAAAGTTTTCGAGAGAAACAGATGTAGAAAAAATGTCGAAATTGCTTCTTATATTATATATGGTTCTCTTTTCCCTGCCATATGTGATGAGCCTCAGTTTCTGTTCGTGTATTTTATCGCTCCTGGTAGATTCCATGGATCAAATTCGACAAATGCGTGATCGCTGTATGAGTTGCTGTCCTAGTTTCATTTCACTTATTTCTCGCTTTACTCGTAAGCCGGAGCCACGGATAGCTCCGCTTGCAGTTCATCTGGCTGCTGAATAAAATTCTAAAACATGTAACCAGCCGAATCACCTTCGGCGGGCGTTTATATCAGTAAAAAAGGGTTGACCCCACTGCCCGAGCTAAGAGCTGAAAACAGCGCTTGCTCTTTCTCGCCTTGACCGGAGATTGCTTCGATCTTGTACACGACTCGCTAAGTTTTGTAAGGAAATGCAGAAGAAGTTGGCTCACCCATAGTAGCCCGGGTAGGCGAGTGACAACCACCAACGAGCCACAAAACAGAATTTTATATCCAAGCGACCAAGCGATATGTGTTACGTTGCTCAAAGTAAGTTGATCAATATACAGAGCAATAGCTCAGTTATGGCTTGGGATGGTCAAATGTAGGAAAAATGTACATATGTGCTTTTGCAATAGGCTATTTGCACGATGACGCCATTTTCCTAGCAACTTTCCTGTACAAAAAAGGGATTTTGTTATTTTAACTTCGCTTTGATTATAAATTTAAATAAAAAGAAAAAAGGATAGGATTCTTGGCGTAGTAGTAAAATTACGCCATAGTCAAAATGGCCTATCGTATAGTTATAAACAGGAAATTGGTCATATGGTACAACATTACCTGCACACATGGCATGGCCACCAAAACAAAGTAAAAAAGCATTTTATTTTCCTTGCCCGAGAGCATCTCATGCTCACCAACAAGAGTAAGCAGTATCTGTTCAGCTGAGGACCCATAATTTACCATTTTCGAAGATATATCTAATTACGACAACTTGTTCTTAGAGAAATGCTAAAAGGAAAAATGAACAAAAACCTAAGGAATTAGTAGGCTAATATAATAGTGTAAACCCACTGAAAACTTCCAAAAAGCTCAAGTTTACTCTTCCGTTTGCCAAACTTTTTTTGGACTCAGAAAAGTTAGATCAGTTAGAGGTATCTTTGCCAAAAACCCCACTTCTCAATTAGCACATAATTCGAAGTACCGGACAAATCTAAAGATATCGTATAGGAGAATTTTTATGTGCCTTTTTTTAGTGTATTGTAACTTTTGTTGTGTAACTAAAGGAATACTAAAATAATAATAATAGTAATAATAATAATAATAATAATAATAAAAATAATAATAATAATAAACAAAGACTGGTCTCCCTCGTGTGGTTCTGGTGCTACGATGGGTCTTATTTGTTTCAAAAATATTCGTCTCTCCACTCTCAGAGGTTGTACAGCATATGTACAGTAGCGATCCCAGGGGAGATACTGGCTCGTTAATGCAGTTGGAGAGCCGTAGAGCTGTCCCACAGGCTTCACAGCCCCCATATTCCAAGGCCTCAGCCAGGACATTTTAATAATTCCACGACTCGACGGTCGCGAAGTGAAAAACCACTGCAGACTTCGGGATCATGCACATTTCTTTCATTTTCTTGTTTTTCGATAGCAAACAAGGAAGCTTTCAGCCGATCTGCGGCATTATTATTGTGAATAAAAGCTTTAGCGAAAAGCGGCCCTTGTTTGTTCTTTTTGCGCTAGTGGGAAGAACCGCCGCCATCTTCGATCTGGCAATGTTATGCGCAGTAGAGACTGCCCAGTGCAAAACAAGGGAATTACCTTAAGGTGATAAAACAAATGCGGTTCTTTGAGACGGCTGTACGCGTATCAGTTGCAAATGAATGCAGCCTTTAATGGTTTACCAGTAGGTCTTATTCATTTTTCGTTTTAATTTTTTTCTCTGACAACGCTTTTTCCAGTAGGTTATATCCAGTGTATTTTACCTGTGATCGCCAGCCCTTAGATATAGGCTATGACACACTCTCGTATTTAATATATCATATGAAATAACCTCTCATTCAATATATTTATGCAATATATATTATAATATGAATATCATTTCCACTTTCATATGCAATATATACTATAATATGTTTAATAGGTGCATGGTTTGAACCCCGGAGTCATGTCAAATACGGAGATGGCATTGCGATTTCAATGCATGGCCTGTCAGGTCAAAAGCCCAAGTTTAATAACATCAACAGACGTCAGTACAACTCGTTCTGACTCTGAAGATAACTGTTATACAGGTTAATTCGAAACGCCAGTGACTGTCGACAGTAGTAGTCCTATTCAGTACTACGCCAATCTGAGCGAACATTCCACTTACAGCTGTACGAATTAATAATATATTTTCTGTCACATTGTTGCGAAAAAAAGGAGGTACTAAAACTATATAAATATAATAACACAAAAAAGGGATATATATATATATATATACTCTCTCTCTCTCTCTCTCTTAGCATGTACTTTACTAGATCTTTCGTTTGATGATCAAATATACGATCCTGCTTAAGAGCTACTTATGTCTTTTGAGAGCAACATTAACAAAGTCAAATTGCAGTATCATCCTTACAATGAGTTGATGTGCTTACAAGCTTATTGAAATAGACCCTTCGGATTAGAACGAGGGCCTTTAAATAAACTATGAAATCAAAGCCTCTTCCATGACCATATCGTCAAAAACAATCCAGCATGGGGGTGAAAGACGACGATATTTTAAAACTTTCGAATAAGAACATTTGAATAAAAGGGCACAAACTAACTAGGAATGAGTTCAAATGAATGGATAGTCATAGCTAGTAGTAATCGTCCAATTATCGCCTACTTGTGTAAATATTATAGTGGAGTACATATTGTGCTTACTGCATCAGCTGAAACACAACATAGAAGGTGTATCTCTTAGCTGCTTCTTACCGTGTATCATCTAAGTGTTGGTAAAAAAAAAAGTCGAAAATAACAACAACAATAACAACAACAACAAAAGATCCACCTTAAAGAACTGGCTATCGAGACAATTAATTTATCAATCTCTAGTAACAATGGCTTCATGATAATAATGTACACTTGTTATTCAAACGACTAAATAAATTGACATAAACTTGCGTGATGCTGTTACCAAAACAGTATGTTATTTAACAGCTGAAACGGTCACATACTGAAAAAAACCCTCTCACAGCGTCCAATATACCTGAATTAAAAGTAAACAAGCACTATCAGGATACTAGGAAAACACCTTATTTGTGACTTTTTACATGGCTATAAAAAACTCTTTATGTTAATCAGCACACAGCAAGTTTAAAAGGCTAGGCATTTGGAATTTTCCTTTAGTTGGATCGGTCATTTGCTCGAGAATGAAGACCCTTCTTCTGCTAGTTTTGGTTGGCTGTGTGCTAACTGTAGCACTAGCCTTTCCATCAAGGGAACTTCTTCGCACAAAAATTCAAGACAGTGAAGAGTTCGATAAAGCAGAAAGGTTAGTCACATGTACAAAGGTTAATGTGGTTTTATGGCATATTATTTTTGGAGGGCTTATACTGAAACACGCAGTGGAACTTCTATCATTTAATCAGCTGCGTATGTTAAATGATCAGGGTTTTCTCTCATAATTAAAGCTTAACTACGTATGTTGAGACTTTGAAACGTAATTTTTCTCACTGAAACTGAAAAATTGGCGCTTCATAATATAGCACTATGACACAACATTAAAATTAACACCATTTGAAAATACTTATTTTCCTTCAGTGAACTCCTCTTGGGCACAAAAAATGTAGCGGGCAGAATTGACGAGGATGACACTGATGCAGAAGAAAGTGACAGTGATGATAAATATGGTGATGCTGAATTGGACAGGTATGCTTCGTACTATTGAATTAGATGAAATTATATTTCTATTAAAAATACTGTTTACTCCAAAGTTCATTTTTTCCCTTACTCATAAATTCATTAAAAGGGCGTACAAGTATTAACCCATTCGCCCCTGAACCGCCCGTAACCGCCCGTGTACGACAACCCCCGAATTCCCTGAAGCGCCCGTAACCGCCTGTAAAAATGGGCGCTGGATTCAGTCCATTCCCCTCTCCTCCTGGGTGTTTTTTTGTCTTTTGTTTTCACAGAGTGATTGATGGATAATAAACCAATCATTTGCCATCTTTTGCGCATTTTTTGACAGATGATGAGAAGCACCACAGGGTCGGGTTTTTCGAAGAGCACGAGTAAAAGAAATTCGCGAGAGTAATGGCCGCCCGCGTCGATTTCGAATCAAAGTTCGCATCACGTTTGAGAGAATATAGAGATAATTCGACTCTTGATCACTTCAGGTTGTTGAACAGACCTTGTGAAAAACCTTCTGATTGAGATTTAAACGATCTTAAGACTGAAAAAGACAATCCTAGCCCTCAAATTGCCGAGCGCTTCGTAGGCAAACAAACCGCATGGACTATCGATAAAAACTTACCTCGTTCATTTCATTTACTTGCATCCAAGTACCGTGTTCCTCGCAGCAAATGTTTTAAATATAACTGTTTCTTGAACTGCTGGAGGTGATGCTTTCGTGGAGTTAAAAGTTTGAACAAGGAAACGGATTATGTGCGACGATCGATTTGGATTGACAATCCTCATGAATGAAATTTACTTCACATCGCGCGGAAGCTCACGGAGAATAAACGGTAACCGTCTTTTTATTCAATTATTTACAGTTGCCAAATGATGCTTTTTGTATGCTTATTTTCTTTGTGTATAACTATTAACACCTATCGATCTGTGCATTGGTAGGTAAAGCATTAATAAAGCAAGTTTGGCATTTAACTGTATTTGTGCTTTACTTTGTTGATCGTACATGATTGGCGACGCACTTCAGTTCAGGATATCAAATACGCTTCCCTGAAAGATTGCGGCTTTGCCACCTTCTCTGGCGAATTCGATCATTTATTTTATTGTTGAAATTCAAGAATCGAAAAATATATGAAAGAGTGGGAAGCTGAAGTCCAGCATTCCCTTGTTTTATTTTCCCATGCTTGATGATGAGGAACTCTTCAGATCGCTCTTCGTGAAGTGATCATCACCGAAGTTTCAATACATTTTTCTACGGTGCTTCTCGACTGGACTGATCTGAAAGAGAACTTAATGAAACAACTTTCAGTAAAATGACTTTACAGTGTTGTTGATGTTTTATCGACTGTGTTTATTCCTTTAACAGCGTTTTTGTTCCCCGTTTCACCGTTGATTTATCAGTGCAATTATTGCGCGGCGAAGAAATTTTGTTGAAATTCATTGTTTTCGCCTCTTTCCACAGCTTTTTCTTTCTCAAATTGCTATTTTTTTTACATACCCTGGCTGCCCATTAACTCATCTAAAAGAAAAAGTTTGTTTGAAGGCCAGAGTTTATCTCAGGTTTTACTGCGCATATGGTTTATTTTAGGCGCTCGCGTACGCTTATTTTCTACCGAAAATTGCCAGGGAATTGGGGGGTTGTCGTGCGCAAAAGTCCCAGGAGTGAATGGGTTAAATAAATAACAGAACAGAATAACATTTGCAGCAGTAATTATACTGAAATTGCACTTGTGAAGGTATATAGGTTATTCCTGTTCTAAGTAAAAGAAGCGCGAAATCGAGATTATTGTTCTCAACTCAAATTGACCATTTTTGTTTGTTTGTTTGTTTGTTTTATGATCACCTTGCAGTACGTTTGATCTCGATAAACATTGCTCATCCTGTGTAGGACAATTTTCACATATCAACGTAGTATACACGTTTGGCCTTGCTACTATAAGGCTCTCTGTACTGCAATAGATAGAGCAACCAAGCTAGTGTTACTTAAGGAGGTCATGGACTTCAAATTCCTGTCAGGGACTCAAGATTTTTTCTTTGTCCCACGCTCGTCAATCGATTTTCGCATAGGCCGACTTGAGTGAGAACAAAGCAGTAAAACAAAAAGCGTCTAACGAAACAATCATTCGTGAACTACCATTCACTGAATGAGTCAGTGTGAATTTTGTGTCTTTTAACGTAGGCTCGGAACCCTTTGTGACGCGCTCGTTAACTCGCATAGAGCGACTTAACTGAAAACATGGCAGTAAAAAAAGTGACAAAATTATACAGTGAATCGTAAATTGCCTACAGTATTTTTTGGTCTGTTAAAAGGTGGCGTAAAATATTTGCTAAATGTTTCAAACTTCTTGTTACTGAGCCTCTGAAAAGAAGGCAAGAATAATGTTTTTGTTGCAGTAAATCAGAAAATCGTTTGTATGACCATGGCAGCGAAGAAGACGAGCAAAACGATTTATATGATGACGACAACGATGATTATGATGATGATGAAGAGGAAAGGTAAAACATTCATTCCCGTAAGAGTAACTAATCTCAATTTTCTCCGAACAATATCAATACACGTACGTAATCACGAGAAAAAGTCAGTAATGAGAATATACAGTCAGATGATCACCAAAGGGATAATGCTTTGATATCAGATATCTTTTAACACATTCTCTCAACTATGCCCTGTAAGAAAATGTATCTAGAGACCAGTGTCGAGAATTTGTTTTTTCGGATATTGGGCCTTAAAGGTTTAAAATGAGAAATTGTGCAAATCGTACATCTCTGCCTTTTTATGAAAGTCTCCGTTTTATAAGTGGATAAATTCCTTACAAATTCCCTACAATAAAATTAGCTAAAATAAAGCGGACGCAATTGACAAGATAACACTGGTAAAAAAAAGTAAATATAGTGACGCTGAAATGGACAAGTAACCTTTTAACGATTAAATTAACTAAAATTCTTTTAAGAAAAAAAAATCAAATCCAATGTTGCACATTGCTCCTAACTTGTGAATGCATTCATGGTGCGTGAACCATATTCGCATTTTTTAACCAAGTATATGGGTATATGGGGTATACGGTCGGCCTTTTTCCAATCCTATTAGTAAAAGAAAAAGCAAAATTTGTTTTTTTTTACGTTTTGGGGGATACATTACTCTGTGTTTTTAAATTGGAATTAACCATCTTCCTTTATCACATGATAGGGTACTTTCTCGGCATTGCTGATCCTTGCGGTATTCAGGACACTTGCCATGAACCTAGTTAATATATTTTGCCTTGCTTTCAATGGTTCTCTTTGTATCACGGATAGATCAACTCGTTCGGAGTTCGGGCGATCATACGTTCCACTTTTGTCGCGGACTTACTGAAGACTGTTCTCTGTTCTCCCCTCTTTACATGTTAAAAATCACGTCAAACGACTTCAGCAAAAGGTGCTTTTCACCATGGCATCAGTGGTTAGAGCGTCCGAACTAGAGCTCTGAGGGTCGTGAGTTCGAGTTCTCACCTACAGCTCGGAAATTTTTTTCTGAGCTTTCTGGTGTTTGAATTCTCCTTCTTCTTTAAAAGAAATAGGTGAGAGCTAATGAAACAGGTCGAAACAGGGACTATAAGGAGTTGTCAGTAGTAAATTTTTGGCCTTTAAACGGAAAATGTTTGCTAAACGTTTCAAACTTGTTCTTGATTCAGTGAATCAAAAAATGATTTAAACGATGATGACAGCGAAGAAGACGACCAAGAAACATTAGCTGATGATGGTGACGTTGCTAACGATGATTTCGAAGAGGGAAGGTAAGACAATTTACCCCGAATGTTTTCTCTTACTTCTGTATTGAAGAGAAAAATAGAAGAATGCATAACCGTCGGTTTGGTATCAGAAAATTACGTTCAGTGTATCAATGAGGTCTTCGTTCTCTAAGAGTATTAATTCCACACAAACCAGCTAAACTCCAAAACGGCTAGCCTCCCCACAGACGTCCTTTGGGGTTGGTTTGTCACGCATTCATTTCTGTGGGGGAGAAATGAATGCGTGACAAACGAACCCCAAAGGACGTCTGCAGGGAGGCTACAAACGGTAAGAGTCTTCTATCTTTGTATCTCGATTACTACCCTCAAAATTAGAATTCGTGAACGTTTGAGTAGATTATATTTTATTTTTAACACTCAAAGCAAATTCGTTACAGTGAATCTAATCTTGGTCCAAAAGACGAAGATGAATCAGATGAGGATGAGGAGAAGGGCAATGAAGACCCAAGAAATCTACAGCACTTTTATGAAGAGGGTGACACTTTATCTTCAAATCGAGACCCGATAAAAATTCGCTTTCGACGCATTGGCAGAGGCATTGGTCGTGTCATTCGAAGAGGAAAACGTGTTGTGCGCCGAGTGGGCCGCATCATTCGGGGTGGAAAGCGTATTGTCGATCGCGCAAGACGTTTCGGAAGACGCGTCATTCGTGGTGGCAAACGCATCATTCGTGGTGGCAAACGATTTGGACGAAGAATATTTCGCAGACGAGGACGTCGTCGACGTCGACGTCGACGTAGACGTCGACGTCGTAGCCGTGGCTAGGTCATCAACGTGACCGTGAGGTGAGGTTATTTGTTACTACATTTAAGTCAATGATAATTTTTCTCATACAGGGACCTTTCAAAATTTAGCGAAAGAAATAGAAAGTAAAGGTGGCAGAGGTTTTCTTTAATGAGGGAAAACAGAGAAAAATTTGTAGAATTATAACCTAAAAATTTCTTGATCGAACCTTTCATCCGACTCCACCACCCTCCCGTTCCATGACGTTTTGTGGACCTCTAGATGCCTTGTGCTGGTTATTGAGAAGCGAACCTTTACTTTCTGGCCTAACACAATGTGTTTTACCTTTCTCTCTGGTTTTCTTTTTTTTTTTTCAGCAGTATAACAAGGATGTTCCATGAAAGCAGTGCCTAAACAGGAATTTCGGACCTTGTCATAATCTTCCTTCAGTTAACCTTCAAATTAAAGTAACCAGTTGAAAACATTAATGTGGTTGAGATAACAATACATTATTAAACATTAACATTAACAATTCATTTCTTATGTTCATATCCTAATTATAATCGATAATTGAATTAAAATCGTGTGAAATTTACAAACTGTGGTCTGATAGTTTAAATGTTGACTTGCCAGCATTCCCCTAAACGCCAACTCCTCTTCCATGGGCGCATGCGCATAAACCAGTCAATGCCATGAGGGAAAAACTGCGTCTCCGTACCATAGCAAGAAAAGAAGGGACTGCTGATGTCGGGTTTGAAGGAAAATACACTATTTGCTAGGGAACGTTTATTACTAAAAGAATCTCTCGATTTTTTATTTTTAAAATGAACACTAATGAGGAGCAAAAAAGAAACGCGAGTACATATCTTGTTAACTCGTTTTATTTCTCCCCGCCTTCGTCTGATCACACACACTTCATCAGAAAGTATAACAAGATAGAGCTAAGGAATAAACTTTATACCTAATGATTAAGACAAAATCGTTTTCCGGAAAGGATGTGAACAGTAACACGTTACTAACGGAGGTTAAATTACGTCTTTGTCGCAGGCTACTGTAACGTCCGCTCATTGATCTAGATTCAACTGAAGCTATCTTTTCTTTTCTTCCATTGTTTATCTTGTCATTTGAAAAACGAACCTTTCAGTATACTTGTCTCTGGAAACCCCCACCCTCCCACCCCGGGGAGACGTGGGGCATACGTGGGGATTGGCAAGTGCTTAGATGACTTACCAGCCCCCAGAGGGTGGGGGCATAGTTCACTTTAGACAATTTATATTTTAGACGGGGAGTGGATTCTAGTCCGAAGCACATGGTCGATAGTTCAGAATAGCGGGTTCTAAAGGTGGGTTAAATGATTTTCTTTGACATTTTAATGCGTTTGGGTTGTCCTTCATTCAGAATCTCGTTTGAATATTGAAATAAGCCCGCGGCTTTTGTATGTGTGAATTATATTTAATGTACTTTTATGTTTAGATTATGTGACTTTTTTAACAGTCACATAACAGTTTTAACAGTCACGGCATTTAAAAATGCGGTTGAGAAAATGAAATTGACATTGAACTCGAAGAAGACGGAAGTTTAGCTTTAAGCAGTTTATAGTCCCTTTTTGCGAACACAACAGGATTATGTTTCACCTCAGAATATGGTAGAGGAGGAAGAAGTGTCAGAATCATAACAAAATACAATACATGGTAAATAACTGAAAGGTAATATTTAGTATAAGAATAAAGTGCTCCAACAAATAAGAAAGACCAAACTAAAAAAGAATTAAAACAACCTCAATCAAATAATAAAAGTGATAACACTGTCCAAGAATAGACCAAATAAAACCCTACAGGGAGGGAGGGAGGGAAATGATTGCTGGTGCAATAAAAGTGACTGTTGCTGACTGCAATGCCAAGTGAGAATGTGACTAAACTAGAATTGTATCCGTCTGTAACCCATATTACAGTCGTGGTATTCCTATCTACCGTAAAACTACTATATCCTAGGTAGTAGACACATGGTATTATGAAATCTCTCATGCCAAAAAACTACTGTGATGCTGTACTAGCCCTGCATCCCAATGTAACACCTTCCTTTGAGATTTAGAACCGCATCAGTCGTCTCAACTGATGCACTCCCTTAATAACATAAAGGAACAATTTTTTTAAAAAAATATAGAGATATAAATATATATAATATTTTCTTGTCTTGTGAAAAACCATTCTATTAAATATTTTGACACAAACAATAATAGTAAAGTCTGCACATCTATTTCATTTGTCAAAGCTGTTTTTCAAAATACAATTGTGAAATTATGTTTACGTCCTCTCAGTGACTATTTAACAGCTTTTAGAACACGAATACGTCTACTTCCATTATTTGCATCAGCAATGGGGTTTTGCAATTTGTAATAAGCAAAGACAGAAGTTCGTTAATGACTGCTTACGACTCTTCGCGAGTGCAATTTCTACAAATTTTATTTATTTCTTTGACCGTCGCATATTTCCAACATGTGTGACGATTCAATATACTGGAGATTTATATACAGCAAGAATAATTAGCATTAAGATTACCATTATGCATTATCAATCCTTCGATCGAAATTAGATTTTAGCGCGTATGGTATTGCGCCCGAAGTAGAATAAAACAGACTTCTCCAGTTCGAAGCTGTGCTCGCAGAAATTACTCCAAACAGGACTTCTTAAAACCTTTCCACTTAAAATGTATCGCGGTATACAAATTCCCTATTCTTCCAATTCGATCGGAGTCGTCGAGTTGTTTCTGGTCTCTTGAAATATTATCAGAAATACGAGTGTTTACAGAAAGCGTTCTCGATCATTAACATCTCGATATTCGTAAATCGAAAGCTATGACGCATAAAATAATCTCGATTAATCGGCTCCGTATTGCTGTTACTTTTCTTCAAGGTACATTCCACCCAAAGCACTCGACGGCTATTTTGCCTTTGAAGTTTCCCTGTTCGACATTTCTGTCGAGCTTAGTC